CGCTCACACTTTCATCGGGTGTATTATATTCTTCTCCTCAAGCAATTTCCGGCTCAAATTGATAAAGAACAGTCATACTTCCATAGCGAAATTTGGTTGATTCAGCTCCAGCTACCCAACATGTTCCACTATCTGACGTCATCACAGCCCAGGCATCCCAAGCCATCAAATCCGGGATATTCCACAGGGAGCCCAGCTTAAGTTATTTCGCAACTTTGACGGACGATATCACCCCAAAAAACGCATTTCATGGAATTTTCATTTCGATTTTCAAAATCAACAAGGTTTGATGTACATTTTAAGCTATGATGTGTCTGGCACCTCAGAGTCCCTTTAAAGGAAATGACTTCATTAGCTTTTGAATTCAATCAAGTCTAGTCCTTCAAAGCTAACGATTGAATCATTATTAGCCAGCACTTGTTCATGTGTAGATGATTTAAGAGATAGTCTCTTGGTCGGGTGTTTTCTTGTAGGTGTGGTAGCAGGCGTGCTGGCAGAACTGACGTCACTCTCCCCACTCTTCTCCTCAGTCAAGCGGTCCAGGAATGATTCCATTATGTTGAGAGGAATAGAGTTGTGTAAGGTGAGTAGTGGGTAGATGGATGCTATTGGTGACAAGATTTGATCATAAAACTCCGCAACTGAAATGACAAGATTGCACATCATGAACCAAGTTGTCAAGTGGATGGTGACCACAATGATTAGTAACAATAATACTTGGAGATTCTTGTATAGCGCATTTCACATTGTCCCAATGTGATTTTACATTTATGACCAATGGAGGACTTTACAAGCTGCATACAACTGCGCTAGTGCAGTTTTTGTATGACTGTGAAAAGCTCAGTACCGTAAGCGTGCCGTGCCTGGACCGTGATACTTTCTAGAATTTTAATTGGCTGATTTTTTTCACGCGCAATATGATTGGTCTAAAAGTGCCGTGATCTTGGCGTGACCGTGTCTGCGCCGTGTTTATGCCGTGTTCCGGGTATTTGATTGGATGGAGAGTAAATTCTCGTGCAATGTGATTGGTCTGGCGCATGTCTTGCCGTGTCACGACCGTGTTCGTGCCGTGAACTTTTCACAGTCATACGAAAACTGCGCTATTATCGGCCGTGCAGCTTACAATCAGTGAATTGTTAGCAGATTAGTATTATATCTCCACATTGGGATAGGCTTGTTCGGGGATTCCTGTTCGTAAAAGGACAAAACTGCGCAGCAAAGACTTTGTGAGAGGTGCATTGTGGACTAGCTTGGGTACAAACATTTTTGTCCATTATGGTATTATATGGTTCTTTGTATCATACCCAAGGTAGATCACAATACATCAAGGTTAGTGTACTGCACAAAAGGCCTGTTTCTGAGTGACTTTAAAGAACCGAGGTACCCAACATACAATGGCTTACYCTCAAGACATCCCATAATCCACCGCGCCCTACCCATCATCACTATCATTTGGTAATAGACTTTGTATCTGCTTAATTCGTTTAAGTAAAACATAAAACACAGGGTATCTTACGTGGTGGTTTCTTTGGGTCCACAGAAAGCGGTGCCAGCGGTCTAATGCGACAGGGTCCATGTTTGGCTAAGGACAACTTTTTGGAGACAGCACGAATCGATGGCAGATAAATCAATGTACCTGAAACAATTAACAATTAACATTTTTTGTTTATAATACTCAACATAATTGAGCAATTGGGACTCTACAGTACGATTAACAATTTGATTGTACTCCTCTTGTCCAATCAAAATCGAGACATTTTGTTGCGCGGATTATAGAGATGGTAAATACAAGTTAAAGAATTTTATTGTAGTTTAAAAGCTTTAAAAGAGTTTATGTCCTCAGATTTATCGTGATAACAAAGCCCTTTTTACCCTCCTCTCCCCTTTTAAAAACTCCCTTTAAAAGCTTTTAAGAGGCCTGATAACGAATATATCCTGCAAAGCATTATGGGTCCGTAGATATGGTTACGAGTCTTTACAATTGACGTTAAAATAGTGTTCCCTTCCTTCAATACTGTACTTTACGTTTATCATAGACATTTTTAGCTTAGCTTTACCACGTTTTTGATCTTGAAAAAGGCTTTCAGGTGAAGAATGTCTCCAGGCTAATAACAGGAACATGAATTAATGGTGTAATCATCATCATCATCACCATCATTATCATCATCATCAATACCATCATAATTACCATCCGTTATCATCATTATCACTATGACCATCATCGTCATCGTATCATTAGCACCATCATCATCATCATCA